AAAGAAAAAGGTGGGTAGGGGGAGGGGAGAAGAAAGTGTTAGAGAGTGTCCTTTATGTGGGGTCTGGAGGTGTATATACTTCTTCGGAGATTCGCCGTCGGCATTTGGGAATTGACGGGGAAGTAAAGACGGCCGGCGTAATGCTGACCACATTACCCATCTAGTGCCGTTGGTCTGTAAAAATATGGGTGCTCTTCCTATATGCCCGATGCGCCTAGGGCGTAAAAAGGGATCTTTGCTTTACTTTCACTTTAATATTTGGGTATTGATGGGTAAAACTCAAATGTTAAAAAAAAAAAGATCGGGGAGATGTGAACCAGCGTCATTGCACACGGTTTTAAACCATAAGTGCTCTGCCACCTGTGTGGACAGCTGATAAGAAGTTGTCCGCCTGTGTCGCGGTCCGCACGCAACTCCGTAGCTACAGCGACGTTCCTCCGTTTACCCTCGAGTGCAGGAGGTTCCGGGTTCAATTCCCGGTAAGGTCTGGGATTTGTTCACGTGGACTTAGACTTATAGTTAATCCCATTGGTCTCTAGGTAGTGAGATCGGACGCCCGTGTGTATTGTTGCGCGCGTAAAAAATACCTTGGCAGTTGAAAATCGAAAAGAGTAGCCTAACGGCAGAGCCCCGGCAACAACATGGAGTTTAAAATCAGGATCATCGCCGGTGCTACGGAGTCTGTGCACTGTGCTGCGCTTCGTCGGACTTGCGTTAGAAGAAAGAATGGAGCCCTTGGGTTACTACCCGTGTGCCATGGTGTTGATCCGTTGTTCAAACCCCCTACTGCCACGAAGTACTCCAGTTTTCCTTCCCTCATCACATGACCAAACAAATTTAGATACAGCCATGAAGCACAGTTATATTGAGCACGGCCGGCTACAGGAGGCTGTGTATTAGGATACACCACAAAACGGTTACATAGTCGGTGTGGGTGGGTTGTGGCTTGACCGTCTTCAATATTGAAATGGCCTTGGCTGTGGGCCTGTGAATCTATTGATGAACAGATTTTGATAGGCCACACTGTGCGGTCAGTCGAAACTGGAGTCACGCGTGTTACGTTTGAGTCAAGGTTACTGAATGACCCCCCAAAACCGGAAATGGCCAGAAAGTGTAACAACGAATAGTTTCTGACACTAATCTGTAAGGCTATTATTGTATTGCACGTGAGGGGCTTAAATCGTTTCATTGATCTCTACTCCCCGTATAGAAGGGGGCAAGGCCGTACTGTAAATACTGAAGAATATCCTGAGGTGGAGTCTCATGTATAGAGGGGAGCAAGGCCGTACTGTAAATACTGAAGAATATCCTGAGGTGGAGTCTCATGTAAGTTTATGCTGCGGCTAGTAGTTTCATCTTGCCGGTCAGGACCAGTTAGTTATATGACCTCTTCCATTTCTGCTTGAGGTCACGGGTTAGATTGCATCAAAGAATCGCTGATGCGTGGTGCTTTGCGAGAGAATTATACGAATTTTGGTGAATCAGGAGGTGAGGAAAAGGCGATGGCCTTGGATTAGGACACACATTATCAGAACAGTATAATTAGAATTACCTTGGACTGGAATCCACAAGGCCAAATGAATAAGAAAAAAGAAACGAAACATTTTACACATCACAAACACTGTGTGAGAGAGAAAGGGGGGGGGGGAGGAGAGATACCCAAGTTGCGTACGGTTACTGGAGCGAGTAGCGACTGAACTTTACGAAAAAATTTGGGGGGGGGGGGGGGGGGGAGATGAGACGAGACACCAGTGAGTCAAACTGCCAATTACTGCCTTTATCATATACCATTACCACTTTTGCAGTGTAGGCAGGGAGGTCTTCGAGCCTGAGGATTGACGGTAGCATGGCTTGTGCTGTCGCCAAATCAGTGAGTTTGCCCGGAATGTCGTGATATAAATTCTCAAAACCCAGAAACCATTTTATGAGGCAATGTCGACGTTTTCTGTGTGCGGGAATACGAGGCGTCATTGAATTTGGCTTAAATGACGTGATATAAATACATTTGTAAAACGCAGAAACTATTTTGTGAGGCAGTGTCGACATTATTGTTAATGCTGTTGTGACCTCTGCTCAGTCAGCTGTTTGCCAATTACGGTAAACACTTATATTGCTGGGTGTGACGCACGCCATGTGACACTATTTCTGCGGAACGGTTGGCATTTAACGCAATCCTGGTAACTGTCACTTCCCGCCCGCCCACCCACCTCCAAACCCTCTCCATTAAAACGTCGTCAGGCCCCAGTGAACTGGGTACGTGTCCTTGTCTTCTCTGCACTTTAACTGAGCGGTTAAATATAGTTTGGCTGAAGGCAGGGTACCCATGACTACATGTAGTGAATATATCAATATCTGGAATGCATGAATTGTCGTATCCAGGAATTCATTGTTGGTCTCCAGAATGCGCACTCCCATTACAATGCGCACGCTTATTAAAATGTGTAGTTCCATTACAATGCGCACTCTCATTAAAATGTGTAGTCCCATTACAATGCGCACGCTTATTGAAATGTGTAGTCCCATTACAACGCACACTCTCATCAGAATGCACACACTGGCTAGAATATGATCCCCTTCTCTCTCTCTCACTCTCCCTCCCTCTTTCCCTCTCCCTTCCTCTTTTCCCTGTGCCCTCCCATTCCCAGTGTTCACCCTAATTCCCTCACCTATTTCCCTCTCCCTTACCTCTTTTCCTCCCCTCCTTTCCTCTTTCCCTCTAGAATGTGTCCTCTTTCCCTCTCCCTTCCTCTTTCCCTCTCCCTTCCTCTTTCCCTCTCCCTTCCCCATTTTCCCTTCCCCATGTCTATATTGCTATCTTTTTGTCTTTCCTCTGCTAATTCTGTCGTTCATTCTTCCTCCGTCTTTTTTCTTTAACTCTTTGATTAAAACAATGGAACGCATCAGAATCATACAGTTCATATGTTCTCTACCTATCCTTCCTCCCCAATGAACGCATGATGTGTCTTCCTTTTAGTCTCTCTTTACTACCTATTGGGTCTGTGCTGCTAAACCCCCTGGGACTCTGTCGTGCATCTTCCTCCCCCCCCTTTAGCATCGTAGCTGGGAAGTTCTTTCTTCTCTCTCTCTCTTTCTCTCTCACTCGCTCCTCTTCCTCTCTCTGTCTCTAATGTTTCTCTTCTTCTCTCACACACACACATACATAGAGAAAGAAAGAGAGAGAAAGAGTGAAAGGGAGATAGCAAAAGAGAGAGTGAAAGAGAGTGAAAATGAGAGAAAAAAAAGAGAAAGAGCAAAAAAGAGTGAGCAAAAGAGTGTGAAAGAGAGAGACAGCAAAAGAGACTGAGTGAAAGTGAAAGAGAGTAAACGACCGAAAAGATAATGCAAGAGAGAGAGCGAAAGCAAAAGAGAGAGTAAAAGAGAGGAAAGCAAAGGAGAAGAGAGAAAAACTGGAAGAGAGAGAGAGAGAGCTAGAGCAAAAAAACTGGAGAAATGAGTATGCTTGCCTGTCAGATTGCCTGTCGAGACAGTGATGTGAATGTGCATGGAAAAACTTAAGTTCTGGAAGGAGAGCAAAGTGCAGAAGTGGGGGGGGGGGAACAACCAGAACTTTCTGACAGAGTTTACATCCAGTGAACGCTTAGAACTAACAAACTAACTTTCTTATGTCCTGCATGGATGTCCCTTGTACAGACGGGAATCCCAACCCAATGTGTCCACACTGCACTCAGAGTTCTATAGAACTTCTTCTTTCATTCGCTTTAAATAAAATATCTATATCTGCAATGCTGTCTCTAGTATGAACTTTTCTGTTTTTTGTAATTCACTAAGTGGCCCATAAAGTTTGGCTTCCACAAGTGTCTCTCTTGGCCAAAGGTTTTGCCTGGAAGTGTTGAATCTGGGACAGTCTTGGAGGATGTGATCTGTTGTCTCAGGGGCCAGTCCACAGGTACACATGGCTGATTGGCCAATCTTAAATTTGTTGTACATGTGGCAGCGAAGTCGATTGTGCCCTGTTCTAAGGCAGAGGTTAATAGCTTGTTCTGGTCTGTCCATAATAGTGTAATCATCTTGTGCCAGTTTTGGTGGCATTCTGATTGATTTTATTATTCTCTTCTTTTGTTGATAAAAAGACTGGTATGTCGGGTTTTTCTTCAGTTGCACCTTTCTTAGCTATTTATCAGCTTTTTCATTTCTGGGAACTCCACGGTGGGATGATATTCACGGCATAACTACCTTACAACGATAGCCTAGTTTGGATAATAGTGTCCGTATACTTTATAATTTTCCAGACTGGAGTGCCTGAAGTACTACCGCTTTTGCATCTGTCAGGAATACCACTGGTTATGAAATGTATAAAACTAGAAGGGAACTATTAAAAATGATCAAGTTCATCACAAGAACTTGTCTGTCAGTGTAAATCAGAAAGCAAACACAAGAAGAAGAAGAAGAAGAAATTGGACATGTAAGCCTGTCCTACATTGGGCCCTTACAAGCATTCGTCTTTCATACAGCAGATGTATTTTATGTATCAAGCTTATTATGTTCAAATTACCTAAGCACATTCTGCAGACCTGCCCACTCTACCCACAACTTCGAAAAGACATCTGGCTTCAAGAGCAAAGTGTGTAGAGCAAGCTATTGGAAACCATGAAGTACCTGCATCTGACCTGTGAGTCCATAGAGGCAACAACCCACCTGATGGGGAACCATGAAGTACCTGCAACTGACCTGTGAGTCCATAGAGGCAACAACCCACCTGATGGGGAACCATGAAGTACCTGCATCTGACCTGTGAGTCCATAGAGGCAACAACCCACCTGATGGGGAACCATGAAGTACCTGCATCTGACCTGTGAGTCCATAGAGGCAACAACCCACCTGATGGTCTGATCTGAGCATACGAAACCGAACGCAAAAAAAAAAAAAGAAGAAGAAAAATGTTTATATATTGAAATTCATAAGAAGAAAAAGTAGAACCAAAATCATTATTTTTTAAGGCAGTGATTAGATTTGTATTTTCCACAATGTTTAACTTTCAGGTTGCCATACCAGATGTTGTTGATGCCAGCCGTGGGGCAGATATTCTGGTCTTTGTCCTGCCTCATCAGTTTGTTCACGGAGTCTGTGAGAAGTTAAAGGGCAACATAAAGCCAACTGCCGTTGCTGTCACATTGATAAAGGTAGGGGCTCACGGTTGTAGACTAAATAATGTTACAATGCGATGCGCAATGAAACGTGTTGTTGTTCTTCTTTGTCTTCTTCTTCTTTTTCTTTTTCTTCTTCTTCTTCTTCTTCTTCTTCTTCTTCTTCTTCTTCTTCTTCTTCTTCTTCTTCTTCTTCTTGTCTTCTTCTTTTTCTTCTTTTTCTTCTTCTTATTCTTCTTCTTCTTCTTCTTCTTCTCTTCTTCTTCTCTTTTTCTTCTTCTTTTTCTTCTTCTTTTTCTTCTTCTTCTTCTTCTTTCATTCTTCTTTTTTCTTTTTCTTCTTCTTCTTCATCTCTGACAGCGCTGCAAAGGCAGAGGGCGACCTCTGCAAATGTGGAAACAGGACATTGAAGATGCATAGGTTGTGAAAGCACACAGGGCTTTAGAACTGGCCAGAGAAAAAGATACTTTCAGACGTGCCATGAAGAGAATGCCATTCTGTAAAGAGCTTGCAGACTGATGATTGAAAAGACCCGTTGTCAAGCCAGTGTCACATCATGCCTCTGATGCAAGACTCCATATTTTTTTTGACCAATCAGCACTTGATGGCTGATGTAATCAACATCACGTAGGCCACATTTACTTTCCAGGACTTTCCCTGGTACCCCTTTTAGGTTGGGTCGAACTGGGAGCCAGCATAATAAAAAAAATCTGAGCTGATTTAAACAAATAGTACTATTTGAATAATGAAGATACAAACAATAGTTTGCACAATTTATTGCCTCACATACTTCGCTGTATCTCATCAGGTGCATACTACAGTAACAATTACATAAATGAAGCAAATAAGTGAATCCTTTATAACTGAAGTACAAATTTAACAACAATCAAATGTAACTGCCTGTTTTACCAGGGCAGCCGCAGTGTCAGAATCGTATCTTTTTGTTTACAAACTTTAGGGTGCAGGTAACTGTAGTATGCACCTGACGAGAAACAGCGAGGTATGCCAGGCAATAAATTGTGAATCTATTGTTTGTGTGTTCTTTATTCAAATTTACGATGGGGAAACATTGATTGAAAATAGTTCTATACCTAAATTTTATAGAGCAGTTGCCACTTGATGGATGATGTGCTCTTGTACATAGTTTCTCTGTGTGGATCAGGGGTCCAGTGCATCCTGTCGGGACCTAGCAAAGGGCCAGCAGATCATTGCCAACTGTATTGTATTAATGGTCTTTAAGAAAGAAAATAGGGGCTTTTGAGCTGAAATGCTTCAGAATACCATGGACAAAGAAAAGAGGACATGGTGACATTTTCTTCTTAGCGTTCAGTTTCGTATGCTCAGATCAGACCATCAGCTGGGTTGTTTCTATGAACTCGCATGTCAGTAGCAGGTCCTGCATGGTTCCCCATAGCTTGCTCTGCACAATTTGTTCTTGAGGCCAGGTGTCTTTTCGAAGTTAAATGTAGAATGGGCAGGTCTGCAGAATAGGCTCAGGTGTTTGTGGTCCTGTTTGACAGGCATACTGTGGGGACTGTACAATCTTTGTTTTATGCATGTGGTAGCTGAGCCTGCATTGTTCTGTTCGTAGCCATTTTATAAGACCTGAACACCAAGGAAGACTGGCCTAATAAACAATATCATGACTCCAAAGCTGAATTATTTGGTCACATTAAGCACCATGGTGGATTGAAAAAAAACTGTAGCAGAGGGCATGGTACCAGGAAAAGATATAAGTGACTCCATGAATATGAAATGTACACAAGGTGGGAGAGCTGGCAATAGACCGAGTTTCTTTCAGGCAGACCATGATGAGAGCGACTTTCTTCAAACGACTTGCATGATAATGATGATGATGATGATTGTGTGAGTTGAGTTATGAGTCAGATTATCTTCACAGCACTCTGGACACATCCATAGGTGCTCAGATTCCCTTCTCATCATATTCATCAGCGTCACACGGTTAATAGAGCCAGTCCTGGCATAACAGAGATTTTCGTGTGCGTTAATGTTTCTAATGATGACTGGTGCGATCTTTAAAACAAGCACAAGTTCCCAGTAAATGACAAACATATTTTAGGCTCAGGCTGTCACATTTTAAAAGTTTCTGGCGGCACCTCTGTTGCCCCCGCAAGGTTTCCATTAATGTTCACCACAGGGACGCTGATGAAAAAGCCGAATGTGGAGACTGGGTATTATTTTGGCAATTGAACTCTGTATGGCCCATAACGCCGTTTCACCCCGAATGCTACATTAAAACACATAACCAGTGGCAAAAATAGAATGGCCCGAAAAAGGTGTCCTCGATGATTGCGTTAATGATAGTTTTGTGCTGGGGCTCAGGCTTTAGCCCGTGGCGATCCCAGTTTCAAATTTGGGGGGGGGGGGCCTTGGCCCCTTGAAAAACGTAGCAGAATTGGGCCTAGACATTAAACGATTTTCATTGTTGATGATTTCAGAGGTCCCCGGGTAGTTAGTCAACTTTGGAATTTTCTTCAGTTCATGTAGATGTCTTGGGAAATGAGCAGGCAGATAGAACTGGGCTGCGTTCTGCACAAACTTGGTGGTGGATGATAAGCTAGATGTTGTGAGGGCTTAAGAATGAAGTGAACAGTGAGGAGGCACAGATAGATCATTGCAGTGGAGGAGATTTGCGCTGCGAGGAGGCTAAAAAGGGGATGTGAGCATCCGCGAGACCTTAAAGATACCCTGGAACTCTTGCTTTTTGCGATGGGGGAAGGACGCACCATTATGAGGTGCTATGAACATTCCCATGCTACATGAAGTTTTTGTTGTGGGAAATGTTTGATGAGTCAACTACTGTGATTGTTGTTGTGCTACAATAGGGTAAGTGGCAGAATGTTGTCATTTCATCCGCGAGACCTTAAAGATACCTTGTGTTTCATGGGTGCATTGCTAATGAAGTTAAGAGCATAGTGAGGTACAATAGGAACATGGTTCATTTCTTCTTGGAGTCCATGCTGTGTGGCTTTGGTAGTCATGTCTATCCACAATCTTCTTTCTTGTGTACTTTCGATCCACTCTGACACAGGTGATCCTCCATGCCATGATGTCTCTCTGTTCAGCATCTTTCCTCTAGGTCTCCTTCTGCCTCTTCTCCCCTCCAACTTTCCTACTGTCATGATGTACTCCAGTTTTCTCCTTCTCATCACATGACCAAAGAATGCAGACTGTCTCTTCGTGAGTCAGTTTCTTTCAAGACATTCTCATTAATCCCTTTTATCTGTACAAGGTATTCTCATCATTCACGCGGGGAGGGGGGACATTGGGTCTATTCCCCCTCTCCGCCCACTGTTGTAAATGGAACCGTGCTAAACACTGAGCCACAGAGCCACTGAAGACGCATTATGGCAGGGGTTTTCAGCCTTGCTAATGCCAGCAGCTATTAATACAGTTCCTCATGTTGTGGCGATCCCCAACCACATAACATTATTTTCCTTGCTACTTCATAACTTCAGTAAATATGTGTTATCCAATGGTCTTAGGCGACCCCTGTAAACTGGTCGTTCGACCCCCACCACAAGGGTCGCAACCGACAGGTTGAAAACTGATGCATTATGGAGTAGTATTTTTCAAAAATCTTTCTTTGCTCTTTTACCACTCTCTAGCCTGTGGTTTACTTCTGTCATTTTGTGTGTGCGTGTGTTCATTTGTTCGTTCATGCCCATTATGTTGTATGAACTTCATGTTTTCAGGCTGTAAGGACACACAATTGGGACAACACCTGAAGGCAGTCTTCCAGACAAGTTATTTCCGCATTGTGGTTGTGGAAGATGAGACAACAGTGGAAGTTTGTGGGGCACTCAAGGTTTGTTGTCACTGATTCGTGCGTTCACTACCCACTTGGGCCATTGCATGTCACATAGGGCTGACAGTCTATTTCTCCACTCTATTGTATCCTGTCCAATCACTTTGTTAGCATGGATGGAATCATATCCATCCCATTTGGCTTCTCTCATCAGCATTCTGTGTTCTTTACTAATATCCTACCCCAGATGACATCACAGGACAGTCCATCATTTTAAAGGGTGGTAAGACTGGGTTTCTCGGCTTTCTGATGCTTTTAATGACCCCAAAACATCTAAAACTGGCCCTAACCCCAACCCACCTACATCCCATGAAAGAGTGCAGCCTAGGTCCCATCGACTGCATGCAGCCTATCTACCACCCCCTAGTATATGAGACTGTCCCATTACCTTTGGATTTTCCCTGTTTGGAGTAGGATATTAATAAAGCACCACATTCTGCTTAGGGTTTCTAATAGACGTCCTAGTTTCATAAGTCCCTTTGTCTCTCATTTCAATACCTGTTTTGTGATTTTCTGTTAGTCTTTTCTCATAATGTGACCAAAATAGCACTATACATGTGTATAGACATATTATCGTGACCAACTATTTTCATCAACGACAAACTGTATTTCTGGTGACGACTGTTGCCTTTTGGGTCTCTAGCAACTACCATTTGCATTCAAAGCATGAGCATATTTCTGAATTGTTCGGGGACTAATTGTTCACCAGCTTTTCAAATGTGACAGTGAGGGACCTTTTATTTTATTTTCACTGGCACAGGAACGGAGCAAGTACAGCCCGGGGAAAACAATACATGAAGATAGCGGCGCTTACCAGACAACCACGTCAAGCATGACCATGGAAATAGCCGCTGCTTCTAGAGCTTTAGCATGGGTATCCGAGCAAACCGCCACACAAGCAGTAATTGTCTCAGACTCAATGAATATGCTTCAGAAAATAGCAACTGGCAGTATGCGCTCTGAATGGATAGAAAGCATTCGGAAATCGCACTTAACTTCCGTAACCTGGATCTACACACCGGGTCATGCGGGCGTAAAGGGAAATGAGCGAGCGGACCAACTGGCAAGCACAGCACTAATGATTGCGGGAAAAAGCATGGACAGAGCAGATATCGTTAACGCTGTACGTACTGGGCTAGTGGATAATATCGAATCCCTGACACTAACACGATTGCGTGACATGGGAGTTAAGCATGGTGAAGCACGTCTTTGCCGTCTGCGAGGCCGAGAAAGGAGACAATATAACCAGCTTCTCATGGGGACAAATTAGTAGAGAGTACTTTGGAGTGGCTGCTGCTTCGGAGGACTGCGCACGCATGGGTATGCCCAATGTGCAGTGACGTCGATTGTGATAACAAAACACAAAATAACATTTTGTAGGAAGTCGGCATTCCGAAACCCAAGTCAAGGTGTTCTCCTTCGTGCCAAAGAACTGCATGGCTGTTGGGTGAACAGTCGTTAACGAAGGCAGTCAGGTCGTTGTAGGGGCGACGCCTGCTGGTGGATGTAACGTCCTAAGTCCCTTTCCCAGCTAATAGTGAGGGTACTGCTGGGGTGACCATTTGTAACCCCTCACATAATGCTTCAAGTCACAGTGGACGCTAGGCACGGCCACTTTTTTTTTTTTTTTTTTTTTTTTTTTTTTTTTTTTTTTTTTTTCTTTGCCCGTGGCAGTTCTGCCAGGCGGTGGCCGTTGCATTTTTTGCTCCATTTGTAGACTGGAAGGATATGGTTTCGTCACCCAGCTTCTGAGTTGAGTGCATGGTGTGACACTGTGAGCTACGAGTGTTTTTCGTTGGCACAGGAGCGGAGCAACAATGGGGTGACCCGTTTGCTATGATGCTGAAACTAGGATTACTAGATTACCAGATTACCAGATTACAGCCCGATTACAGTGAAGTTGACACCTCTTTTAAGACAAAGACGTAAGTGGCTCATGGAAGCTCAGCCGATTGGTGAAACATTATCTAGGAGCGTCGGAGATGTGTTTTAGGTTCTTTATTAATATCCTACCCCATAACCCGGGTAGTTATCGTCCTTAGGATATTTTCTTCTGGCGATATGGGTTGGGAAATGAACAGGCAGATAGACTGACTGGTTCTGCACCACTTGGTAATGAACTGATGCATGAAAAGCTAGATGTTGTGAGGGTCCTCTGAGGACAAGTGAACAGTGCAGAGGCTGAAATAGATCATTATGGTCTAAAAAGTGGTGTTGCTAGGAGTGACCAAGGGATCTGGCTGACACTCAACACTCCAGGGAAAGGCCAGATGGATATATAGGAGTGACCAAGGGATCTGGCTGACACTTAACACTGATATATACACTTAAACTGTTATTGGTAACATTGGAATTGGAACTCTGTGCTTGCTGCTGAAGATGGGAACAGAGTACTTAAGGGAATGTCCCAAGTGCTGTAGTGTCGCTTCTTGAGTTGACGTTTAACAACATTCAACATAAAAACCAAGTGAGGGCTCACAGTCGCTAATCAGCCAGTATAGAGCAGGAGTTGTCAGCATAAACTCAGTAAGACACACTGCTTAGGAGAAGTTTGGAACGCTTAGGTTATGACTGACGTGCAATGAAAACAAGTAAAGATCCCTTTTTATGCCTTAAGGCGCATCAGGCATATGGAAAGAGCACCCATATTTTTTACAGACCAATCGGCACTAGGTAGTCAGCATCATGCCGGCCGTCTTTACTTCCCCAGGACATAATCTTGGTACCCATTTTAGGCTGGGTCAAACCTGCAACGCCCCATACCATGTTAAAGATCCACGCAGCCAGCAGTGGGTTTTTATCGTGGTATGCTGGAGTTATGAGTCAGACAAACAATGCCTAATGCCACGGACGACCGCCAATATGCAGTGAAGGTGATCCTAAAATGAACAATAAACAATCATAAACATACTGTTTTATGCTTTTTTGATGTCCTAACCTTTTTATGATGTTGTTAAGGAAAGTCAAGGACACCTTCAGATGTATTATGCATCATCATGATGTGCTGTGCCGGTAATCATAGGCTGGCATGTTTCGCCATCTCACACAATGACCCGAATCACGGATCAGTTCAATGTTTTTGTCTCACCCCATCCGTCTGGCCAGGCCGTCCAAGCATTTATCTCTCTTGCCTTTCCTCTTGCTCTCAGTATAGGGCTAGACCTGTAGTTTATAGACCAGTTAACACTCGATGGGTGATATGGTCAACATCACATTGGCAGCCTTTACTTCCCAGGACTTTATCTAGTACCCATTTAAGGCCTGGTCGACTTGGGAGGCAAAGACATTTTTGGAAAAAAGTGTCCCACTTCGTCAGGACATGAACCCACGACCTTCAGATCCGCAGGTCAGCGTCAGGCTGCTACACCATGATGGCTCCGGGCTTTATGTTGATGCCTGTCAATAATCTTTTTTATTATCCCTTTCACAGAATATTGTAGCAACTGCCGCTGGTTTCACAGATGGTCTAGGTTATGGAGACAATACAAAGGCAGCAGTCATCCGACTTGGTCTCATGGAAATGATTAAGTTTTGTGAGATATTTTACCCAGGTGAGTGGAGGTGATAGGGGCACATATAGGTTGGGGGCAGCTGTAGGTATGGAGCACTTATAGACAGGGAAACCTCTAGGTTGGGCGCACCGATAGACAGGGGCACCTTTAGACAGTGGCGCCTATAGGCAGAGGCACCTAGAGGCAGAGGGCACCTATAGACAGGGGCACCAATAGGTGGGGAGCACCTTTTGACAGGGAGCACCTAAAGGTTGGGGGGCACATTTAAGCAGGCGGCACCTATGGGTTGGGGGCACCAATAGACAGGGGGAGGCTGGGGTATTGGACAGAAAGAAAATGTTGGAGGAGGGATTCAGCCACCCTATAGTTTTATGGGGGTGAGGGGGGGGGGGGGGAGAAGGAAGGGGGAATGCAACACACACTGTGATGGCACTAGTTAACTCTGTACTAGTTCCTCTTGTAAAATCATTAGTACTTTTCCTAACCATGAGTTGAACAGTGGTTCTAAACCTAATTTAGATTTCCTGTCTGATGGTGATATTGATCTGAGACGGTGGTTCCCAGTTCGTGGTCTGCAGAACAAATTTAAGAATTATTTACCTCCCTACCTCCTCTCTAAAACACCTCCGCACTTGGGTGGAGGTTGAGGTGGCATTTCTGGCATAGATTTACCTTCTTTTTCATGACTATTAAAAAGTACAGCACTGTGCACCAAATGAATTGAGAAGCAAAAGATCAAACAGATCTCGTCACAGTAATTATCAGCACAGATGCTTGATATGAAAAGATCTAATGGGGGGAAGCAAGAGGTTGCCCAAGGAGAATATTGATTGATGACATTAAAAACCTTCTACATCGACATTGAATGACAGTAGCTGTTGTTGCCTGTCAAACAATGGATCATAAACTGATCCTCCCCATGATGCTTAATGGCAAAAGTAAAACTTAATGATGATGATGATAAAAAAAGCATAGGGCCCATGGCAGTCCTTTCAGAATAAGAGGGAGTCCTCTGGTCTTATCTGTTTGGGAACCACTGGTCTCAGATATTTCAAAGTTATTTATATATTTATGCTGTTATTGATCCTTCACAATGTTGTTATAATTGCACACATTGATCTAAGACTTGCAGGAACTAGACCTAGTTTTGTTCTTTCCCCCCCATTGATTTTGGAGTCAGACTTCTGGTGTCTTTCTCATCATTTAGTTTGGTTTGGTTGCTGTCTGAAATCATATATTTAATGCAAGGTACCAATAATTTAGGAGCTGCCAGTGTGCAGTGGCTAGAGGCTTGCCTGAAGGTCATGGGTTCATATTTTGATGGAGTAAGACAAAAAAAAATCCTTGGCCCCCTGGTTGAATACCAGCTAGAGTCGTGGGAAAGTAAAGGTGGTCAGCTTGATGTTGATGTTTTATATTTGTGCTAGGGCATGAGCAAGGAAATGAGCAAACATCAGCTTGCAGGTAAAGCTACTGTGGAGGGCAGACAAGCAATTGGCCATGCTGAAATTCTGAATGCTGTATATAAGACGTTTGATGTTTACGAGAACCAAGTGATGACAGTGAATCTGCAACCATCATCAGACAGCAAGAACAATATGTTGAAAGGAGTGTGACCAGACAAGAACTTTATGCAGATAGCCAAAGAAGAATAAGAAACGAACTCAGAACTGGTGTCGTGAGCCGCTACACGCTGCAGGATTTCCTAAGGAAAGAATCTGAGCACTTATGGTCTGAATGGTTCGATGTGCAATGAGGATAATCTGTCGACCAACTAACTAACCCTTTGTGTCTAAACAGTAATTACCATAGGTAACAGATACTGAGAAATCAGTGAGTTAAAATAATACCTGCCTGGGATTGAAAGAGGTAAGCCTCCAAACTTTCATTCCAGTAAATTTTTAGAAATGGAGTGTCTGCAGGTCAAGCTATGAAAGTCTAAACAATAAAATTTTCACCCCCCACTGGTCAGATTTTGCTAATCTGGTTTGCCTGAAATAGGTGTTTTTCGTTCTCTCCACCTCCGCCTGAAATAGGTGTTTTTTGTTCTCTCCACCTCCGCCTGAAATAGGTGTTTTTTGTTCTCTCCACCTCGGCCTGAAATAGGTGTTTTTTGTTCTCTCCACCTCCGCCTGAAATAGGTGTTTTTTGTTCTCTCCACCTCGGCCTGAAATAGGTGTTTTTCGTTCTCTCCATCTCCACCCTCCCATTATAGAATTTATAGTGATCCATATCATAAACTTTAAATTATTCTCTTGTGTATTATTATTATTTTGTTATATTTGTTTTTTTACGCAGTATGTCAGCACCATATCATAATATATCTCTGTTTTATAGTCAGTTAACTTTTGTATTGTGTTTTGTTTCTCGTCATCATTCTCCTGACGAAGGCTCATCTCCCCATCTTTTGTTAGTTTGTTGTAATTGATTCTGTAGGGTTGGCTTATATTTTTTATCTCCCTTTCTTTAATAAAAAAAAATGAAAAACAATTCTCTGTAATTTTTCTGTTGCTCAAATGCAGGTTCTAGCTTGTCAACTTTTTTTGAGAGCTGTGGAATTGCTGACTTGATTACAACATGTTACGGAGGCAGAAACAGGCGCGTGGCGGAAGCTTTCGTCAAAACTGGCAAGGTAAGGCACATCTCTACGCTGTCTCAACATCAACATGGACAACATCAGTTGACATTGTTTCAGTTTTCATTGTAACAAAGAAATGAGCAAGCTGACAGGCTTGCAGGTAAGGCTACAGGGGTGGGAGGATGAGCGGTGGGCCAGGCTGACATTGTGAATGCTGTACGAGACAAAGATGTTAGCGAAAACCAGATGGTGACTAGACCAGATCTTGTGAATCTGCAGAATCTGCAACCATGATCAGTCTGCAAAAACAACAAATTAAAAGAGTGCTGTGCAGGAAGTCAAGGAAGAAGAATAAACCAACACAGAACTATCAGAGAAAGATATAAAACTGAACGAAAAGGAGATCAGCGAGTTTCACAAACACAAAGTTAGTGTCGTCAGCTACATGCTGTGAGATTCACTGAGGGATGAACCCAAGCACTTATATACCGAATGATTCGATGTGCAGCAGGATGGTCTATCTGTTGAATCACTAACTAGCTCAGTGACTCTTAACCTTCCTAATGCCACAACCCTTTAATTTAGTTCCTCATGTTGTGGCAACCGCAAGCCATAAAGTTATATTCCTTGCTACTTCAAAACTTCAGCGAATATGTGTTTTCTGATGGTCTTAGGTGACCCCTGTGAAAGGACCCAAATTGGTCACGACCCACAGGGTGAGAATTGCTGAACTAGTTGCTGTCTCATGCAAGACAGGTAAAGAAGAAGTTGATTGCACATCCTCTTCAGAATGCTGTGAACCAGCCTCAGCAGTTTTTTTTTCCTAGGTAATTTCACGTTCAGACGCTTGCCATCATTTCTGAATGGTATCTTCTTCTTCATCTTTCGTTCGCCTGGAATAAGTTTTCTATATCAGCAATTTTTTGTCTCTTGTATAAATTTCACTGTTTTTAGTTCATTCAGTGGTCCATAGAGTTTACGTTTCCACTGTTGTTTTTTCTGGCCAAAAGTTTTGCTTTTAATGTGTCAAATTCGGTGCAGGTCATGGAGTACATGTTTCTACTGTCTAGGGCACCTTTCACAGGTGCACATGGCCTTATAAGCTCATCTTGAATTTGTACATGTTGTTACGTAATCGTTTTTGTGCCCTGTTCTGAGGCGGAAGATAATAACTTGTTCTGATCTGTCCATAATAAAATAGTCATCTTGTGCTGGGCTGGTTGGTTTCCTTAACGATTTAATGATTCTTTTTCTTTTAATGGTAAGTGACTTTTACATCCGGCTGCACGTTTTGTTTGCACCTTCCCCCTGCAGTTGATCAGCTTTCTCATTTCCAAGCACACCACAATGAGACGGTATCCACTGCATTACGACTCTTCGCTGAAGGCTGAGTTGTGTCATCAGGTGGTTTGCAATTCTGGTAGTTTTCCTAGACCGGAGTGCTTCAAGTACTGATTTAGCATCTGCCAGCATTACCACATACTGTGAGCCAAGATTGGTATTTAGTAGTTTCTCTGTTGCTATCTTGATAGTCTGCGGGCCCATTTGTATAGACTCTGACCCATTGTTCTTGTGGGTATTCTACATCAGTATAACTGAGAGTGGCCATTCTGCGTTGTACACTATCTTGACTCTTTCTTGTCAATATTCCTTTCCCCATTTGTCTGGATTTGTACTGTTAGTTTGCATTTTTCTCTCCATGGGATTTGTTCTGGAATACTTTCTGAAATGGTATGATTAGTATGATACTCACTCCGTTGTGAAAGTCAGCACAGAGCATTTTTCTGCTATTGGAATCACCTGCCACTGACTTTGATAACCTAAGTATGCCAGAATTATGAAAACTTCACGATCCCTGAGTCACTGCCCTGACTAAAGAAAAGAAAAAAGTCGTGAAACTGAGTTCTTTTTGGCCTTTTCTTGTACCAAAAGTTTACTGGCAGATACCAAAGAGGAAATAACTGTAATGGAAAGTCAGGGAAAATGCTTTCCAGAGGTCTTAAGTGGCCAGTGGATAGGCCAGATTTCTGTGAAATGCTTATGCTAAATGTAAAAGAAAGATTATATATAATACAGTTAGAGTATTAAGAGGAGAGAGAGAGAGGGGAAGAACTTGCACACGTCATGCGTTTCTGGTGGGTGTTGAGAAGAAGAGTGGTGAAATAACTTGACATGCTGCGTAGGAACATAATTTTTTTTGTTTGTTTTTTGTTTTTTGTTCAGTTTTTGTACAGTGAAACATTGTTGCTGTGATTTTTTAAATATTTTTTACCTATCGTCCATAACAGGTCTTTTGCAGAGCACTGCTCACATTAGTGCCTCTTTTCTAAATTCAAAATTTTGCCAGGGCTGCGCCATTAGGCTACTTTATATTATTATCCAACTGCCAAGGTTTTTTTTTTTTTAAATCCTGAGCAGCAATACACACGGGCATCAATCTACCCCGAGACGGGGGAAATTACTAGAAACCACCTAACAAAACCCACCCCCAACGGCTTTAACCTGGGACCCAGCACACAAACGGACGTCATGCCCCCAGACCATCAAACCCCCGCCACGGCCTTTTCTTCCCCCTGACCCA